GTACTATTTCCTTCTTTATAGCTGAATAATACTCCATTGTGTAAATGTACCAAAGTTTCTTAATCCAGTCATCTACCGATGGGCATTTTGGTTGTTAAGAGGACTTACCTTTTACATTTTTACAAAGTCTTGTTTTTTTACAGTGAAAGGAAACAGATGAAAAAGCACTTTTATTGACTGACAGGCAGTTGGCTCCAGGGCTGTGCTCTAGATCTCCTGTTTGTGGGGCACATTGGCAGAACCTGGCAGAGAGAGTGGGTCCCCAAGAGGCTTTCCACCCCCAAACGCTGCTTGTTAAGTTTGAGGCCCTGGATTACACATGGGGGCAATCGCGGGTCTGCCTAAACCCAGGGCCAGGCCGGCCTGACCCCTCTGTGGGGCCTCTCCAGTTCTTAGCAGGGTGCTCTGTTGCTTCCTCCCTAGAGGGGAGTTCAACTAGTGTTTCCTCCTCCCTCCCATGGCGTGGACAGCCGTACATGCAGTTCACAGAAAGTGGGGGTTCAGGCAGTCTAGATGACACAGACGCACCTGCCCATGGATGCAAACGGTGCAGTAAAAGGTGTCTGCTCTGCTGACGCAGTGTGTTCTGGCTCGGGCAGAGGTGAGACGTCCCGGGGAGGCCCCATCGCCCACCACAGCCCCTCCTGTCCCCACAGGTGCAGCAGGAGCGGGACGAGCTCTACCGGAAGTTCAGCTCAGCCATCCTCGAGGTGCAGCAGAAGGCGGGCTTCCGGAGCCTGGTCCTGGAGCGCAAGCTGCAGGCGCTGAGCGCCGCTGTGGAAAAGAAGGAAGCACAGCTCAGTGAGGTGCTGGCGGCCTCCAATCTGGACCCCGCCGCCCTGACCCTCGTGTCCCGCAAGCTGGAGGTACGCCCCAAAAGGGCTCCTGGGGGGTAGCTGGACTGGCACCCATGTTCCTACCCCCAGCAGGCGGCCTGGCTCTGGTTGGGGTCACTTGTCACGGTGAGACCCCAGCATGTCCTGCCTCCATCACGCCACTGAGGACCCTCATCTTGGGGAGGGGCTCCCGCCTGTGTGTGCCACCAGGCTCCTCACCTTGTCTCACTGGTTTTGGTCTCTTCTGAGGTCTCCCTGGCCCCATTCTTTTTTTTTTTTTTTTAAGATTTTTATTGGGGAATTGGGGGGATGGGAACAGTGCTGGGGAATTGGGGGAAGGGGAACAGACAAGTTGCTGTCGTTTTGTTCTTCAGTCTAGTTGTGGAGAATGTTGCTTCAGTGACCCAAGTTGGCACCATCATTGCGCTCTTCCCAGGCAAGGCACGTCAGTTGCCGGCTTCTGAATGGCTGCTCACGGCGGCTGATGGCCGCTCACGCTGGCTGCTGGCCGCTCACGCTGGCTGCTGGCTATATACGGTAGCCCATGGCAACCCACAGCCACAGGAGCTGCAGCCTACGCCATCACTGGCGACTCACGGCAGCCCAGCTCCAGGTTGAGCTGTTGTTCAGCATCTTAGCTGTGGAGGGCAGTGTCACTGGCCCTCATATGTGGGATCCGAACCGGGGCCCTCTGGCGTCCCAAGCCAGTTCTTAACCAACGTGCCACTCAGCCGGCCCCTTGGCCCCATTCTTAACCTCCTGGCACTTTCGAGCCCTTGAGCCCACTGCCAGCTCCAGCTCTCACGATGGGTTCAGCTTAGCCCATCAGGCCCTGGATCTCAAGCCATTCTCGAACCTCTGGACCTCGCTCCTTGGGCATCTGGTGGCTGACCCAGACACAGGCCTTGGGGATGGCTGAGTGTCCTGCACCATCTACGTGGGGCACGAAGATGTGCTGCCTTGGCCGTGGCAGTTAGGACAGGGAAAGGCAGGGCCGGGGTGGGCCTCCACAATGGGTGCGGGGAACGGCTTCCCAGAGGGACTATGTCTGGGCAGAGGCTAGAACATTCATTCCTCCATGAGTGCACTTTTGAGGGCGCTCCTCTGTGCTGGGCACAGGGCCTGCAGTAAGCTAGAGAGGTGAAGCCTCTGTGCCCCTGGTCCGGCTGGGTCCACTGAGGCCTCAGGACAGTGACCACTGCTGCCTGTGATCCACTTGGCAGGTCATCTGTTACCCAGAGGTGGGCCTTGTCCTTCTGCTGTCTGGTGGTTGACGGGTGCCACAGAAAGAATGGGTGATGAGGGACAAGGGGTCTTTGGTGCTGCCAGGGAAGCGTGGCTGAAGTGCAGATCCCAGCCAGCTGGGTGACTTGTAACTGCCAGGCCTGAGGCGGCACCAGGCACAGCTCCCTTGGGGACCTGGGAGATGGACACAGTTGTGCAGCTAGCCACCATGTCTCCACCGGAGGCCTGTCCAAGAGATGCTCCGTCCAGGCTGGAGGGTGTGTTCATGGAGAACCAGGTCTGGGTCATAGGAAGGCCTCCTCACCGTATGTGTCAGGTGTGTTTGATCCTGAGAAATAGCACAGGCAGCACTGAGGTGACTCAGCAATGTGCAGTGCGCCTGAACGCAAAACCCCAGCTGCTCACACGCCCCCAGGCCTAGACGGTTAACTGATGGGTCATCGAGACTGTGTCTGAAGCATTGCGGGCTGGCTTACCCTTACCCAGCTTCTACCTGGGCCTGCAGCTAGCACGTGGTGCTGCAGCCATCAGGCCGGGGGTGATTCACGCTCATTAGCGGTACCCCTGAGTTTGGGGTTAGTGGAGCTATGGAAGGTCCTGGACTGAGTGGCCTGGATCCAAGAAGGGTCACTGTGCCACGGGTGGGAGCTGGATGGCAAGGAATGACTTGTCGCCAATTAAGGAGGGGCCTGAGGGCCAGGTGACATCGCGCCCACGTTCCTGGCTCAGAGCAGTGGATCCTGGCTCAGTGGGCGGCAGTGCCTGTGTGACCCAAGTCACCCAGGCTAGGCTCTCAGGGCCTGGGGCACTGCAGCCCCATAGGAAGGGCCTCGTCTGGGCTGGCAGCACTGTGGTCCTGGATCTGAGGTCTCATCTCTCTCCTTGTCCCTATTTGTGTGTGTCACCATGAGCGTAGCGCTGGTAAGTTGGGGAGGGCTTTCCTGCCTCTCCTCCTGGAAGGGCAGCTGGTCTTGAAGCGTTGAGTCCCTGTGCTGCCCGCAACATGATGAGGGGGATAAAAATCAGTCCTGCCCACTAATGTCACCACAGCTGTGGTGGCCATGGGCCAGGGTGGGTGTGGGTCAGCTCTCGCTTTTCTGGTTAGTTACCCAGCCCATGGGCAGGAATCCTGAGTTCCTGTGTGGAAGTGACTCCCAGGTGGTAGGTGGGGTGTGAGGGGCTGCCCTTCTCACTTGTCATTATGCAGACAGCTGCCTCGTGGGGAGGCAGACCATGCCTCCCCTTTCCCCCTGGAGACTTCTGTCCTTCTTGCTAGCTGCACATGCTGATGAAGCCAGGACACTGTCTTCTGGCCATCTGGGGTCCCTGCTGGGGCCCCCTGACCCTGGGGCCACCCCATCTGCCTTGGCCCAAATATGAGTCTCAAACTCACGTCCACCTCTCTCCCCTCAGGATGTTCTGGAATCAAAGAACAGGGCCATCAGAGACTTACAGTACGAGCTGGCCCGTGTCTGCAAGGTACGAGGAGCCCACCCTTCCATCTGCATGTGAGGCGGGGCCACACTCTTGTCCCGGTGCCCTTTACAGAGCCTGCTGTGCATGGGTGGTGAAGGAGGACAGTGTGTCCCATCCAGCAGCTCTGTCTGTCTTTCTGACACTCACCCTCCCACCACAGTGCTGCCCTGGCCTCTGGGGCGATTGCTCCCCCAGGTTAAGGCCCACTGTCCTCCAAGTGGGGGAGTTAGGGCTCGGACCTTCTCCGACTCCTTGGTAAGTCTGATGAAAGCTGCACACCCCTTCCATGCCCACACGCTCATGGGCATGGAGGCCTCCTACCCACGGGGAGGGGCACTGAGTGCCTTGCCCCGCTGTTGTCTGTCCTGTGAGCCGAGGCTCCCCAGCTCTATGGCAGAGCCCCCAGGTCTGTACTTTGCTGTGGGAATGTAGACAGAGTGCTGCCTGCGGAGACATTTACCAAGCGCAGTCACCCCGCCAGTGTGACCTGGGTGCACCTGTGATTCTGTAGGGTGGACGTCCCGTCCTGGTTCTGTGGAGCCACAAGCTGGAGGCAGGGCCTGGTGCTGGCGCTGGGCCTTCCCTCCGCCCTTCCCAGCCTCGCCACCCAGCTGGACCCCTTCTTTAGATGCCCTGGCACCCCGATACATGTGCGCACAAAATTAGGGCCATCTTCTGGTCTGTGCGGCTCTTGGGGGAATTTCTGTGCATTGCACCAGATTGTCAGGAGGCCCATACCCCAGGGAAGGGTGGAAGTCAGGCCCAGCCTCCAAGTTCTCTCGGGAGCTCGGCCTCAGCACACCCTCTGACTCCACGCCAAGCCCCTGCACGCTTTTCTTGACAATTGGAGGAAAATGTACCCTTTGAGCTTTTGTTGAGTCAGGTCAGGCTTCAGGCATTTCTCATGCATCAACACTTAAAACCCTTACAACCGTCCGACGAAATCCACACTTCTTAAAACATGTTTTCCAGGAGAGGGAACAGACACTGTCTGTGTGGGTCCTGTCAGCACTGATGCCCAGCCCTGCGTCCTCCACTGGGGCAGGAAATCAATGTGTCCGACGAGGCCTTGCTCATACACACGGGGCCAAGACTAGAGGCTGGGGATGGTGGTGCCAGGAGCAGGCTCAGGCCCCAGCTCTGCCCCGAGTCTACCTTCTGCCTCAGTCTCCCCGTCTGTGACACAGGGATGAGGGCAGTGTCCCCACTGTGATCCTGAGTTTAGGGGCAGGTCTGGCCTGGAGTGAGCAGCTGGCAAAGCTTAGCTTGGCGGTTCCCCCGCTCCCCACACCCTCCTTGGGGCTGGGTGGGCCTGAGCGAGGGTCAGGCTTGCTGTGTCCCCTGCCCCTCCCCCACACTGCTCTGTCCCCACAGGCCCACAGTGACCTTCTGCGCACCTATGAGGCGAAGCTCCTGGCCTTTGGGATCCCGCTGGACAACGTGGGCTTCAAGCCCCTGGAGACGGCTGTGATTGGGCAGACACTGGGCCAGGGCCCTGCAGGACTCGTGGCCACCCCAACCTAGCCTCCGCCCTGGACTTCTGGCTGGGTGGCACCCCCTTTTACACACCCAGGACAGCAGGCATTCGTTTCTTAGGTTTGTCTGGTCTGCAAATGAAGGCTTTTCACGTGTGCAGCGTGTCCTGTCGCCTGCTGTGGGAGCACCTTCAGGGCTGTGGCCTGTCTGCTCCCTCCCTGCTGCCCATCCACACGCCCTCCCACCTCGGGCGGGCAGCACCAGCCGAGCTCTGCCCAGTGACCACAGCCGCCGTGCAGATGCCAGCACCGACTTTATTGATGCCCGAGTCACAGCTGCCACTGGGAAATGAGGGGCCAGAACCCCCCATAGAAAGTGGGGCCTGAGGCCCCATGACGAGCATGGAACCCTCTGTGGAGGGCTGGGGGTGGGTTAGGGGCCACGGTGATGGGATCGGTGCTCGAGGCCAGCTGGCGGTCAACTCCCGCGGTACGTGGTGTAGGACCAGGGGGTCAGCAGCAGGGGGACGTGGAACTTGTGGGTCTCGTTGGTGATGGTGAAAACTACCTGTGAGGGCCGAGGAGGTGCCAGAAGACAGTGAGGGGCCCGCACGCAGCTCACCAGTACCCTGGTCCCAACGCTGCCTGGGGGACTCCAGCAGCCCAGACTGTGGGCCAAAGGCTGGATCAAGGGGAACAGGAGCCCCCAGGCCAGCTAGAGCCCGATATTGGAGAACTGGAAACCTGGTGAGGGCTGGGGATGGGACTGAGTACTCCCCAGAGAAGGAGCTTGGCTTGAGGGACCCTGGGCCTGCCGGGTTCCCCAAGGGATGCGCACCCTTTTCAGGGCCGGGTGGAGTGGGAGGCAGTTCGGTCAGACGCAGTGAGCTGGATGGGCTTGGTGAACACCTCTGTCCACGGGGGCTGTGTCACCCTCGGCCCTGCCCCCACAGCCTGACCCAGGGACAAGGCAGGGCCACCTTCCTTCTGGGGGCCCAAGGTAAGTGAAGTCCCTGCCTGTCACCGCCCTGGGAGAGTGGGAGGGGCACTGGCCACTGCAGGACCTCACCAGGGTCACCGTGAACCACAGGCCTCCACCCTCCGGCCAGCCTGAGGCCCTCACCTCCACATACGGGTAGAAGCTCTCTTGCCCCCTTTTCTTCCAGTAGCCCTCGGTGTCGAAGAACAGCTTGTAGGTGCCCGCCTTCATCTGGCCAGGTGGCAGGAGCCCAGGACAGCGGCCGTCGGGGTCAGTGTAGCTGGGGCGGGGTGGGGGGGAGGGGAGGGGATGAGGTGCCACCTCTGCCTGGCTCTCTGGGTCTGCACACCCTGCAGCCTCAGATGCCCCTGCAGCCTGGCTCGGGATGATGCTAGGGCCTGGGGCTCTGGAGCAGCCCAGGCACCCCACTGCACTGTCTTTTTAGGAAACCACAGGAGAATGGGAAGAACCATGAGCAATCATCACTTTATGTTTGGCCTGATTTTCTCATGCATAAGTATTATTTACAAACTTAAACATAAAATGGATCCTATTTCTCATATTGCTTTATAACCTGTATTTTTCAGTTAATAGTGTGCATGGCTTTCTGGGTCAGGAAGTCTATCCGGACCCCCATCCACACGGCCTCCTATTTCCAGCCGCACTGAGTGCCCCAATGGAGGGCTCCGAGGGCTGTGGCTTTGCTCGAACCTCACCTGGTTCCCACCAGCTGTGCTTCCAAGGGTCTGCACTGTGCTTAGAAAGAGCGGCATGTACCAGCAGTTGAGGGGGGGTTGGGAGTGGGTCCATATGACCCCCCCCATGGGACTCCATGTGTTCTTCCAAGACCACAGCTGACCCTCAGATGTGACCTGGACCCCGCTTTTGTGAGGGGCTGAACAGGGAGGGTACGAGCTCCACACCCTCAGGCCCTGAACCTTTGGAGCCCAGACCCCCGACTTCCACCACCAGAGGTGCCTGCCTCCTTCAAGATCGAGGGTCTGGGGACCCCCTCACAGGGCCAGGGCCCACCCAAGTGCCATGATGCCAACCCAAGCCTGGGCTGGGCCTCCCCAGCAAGGCCTGGGCAAGGGATA